TGCTGCTGCGGTTAGGTGTCTATCCGAGCAGCCATCTTGAAGCTACATTCACACAAATTACAAATTTTATTGCAGATTCGAATCTGGGCTGCCGCCGCGGCAATGGCGGGGCCAGAAGCAGCCCCTGTTACAAAGCGGTCTCCTTTTTAAGCACTCTTCAAACAAGCACATTCCAAACAAGGGGGGGTGGAGGTCCACCGGGCTGAAGCTGGTTAGTTTCTCTGCCAGATGGCCTAATCTCCCTTCTTGGTTTGTTCTGCTATCTTCAGCCTTGACTAATCCAGACTGTTGATTTGGCCTTCAGCTCCAGGAGGGGGAGGGAGTAGCAACTTTCTACCCTCCAGGCAAGGTCAGTTATTTTCCACTCCTCAGAATTAAAAATTAAGCTCATGTCAGTCCTTACCCAAAAAGTAGTAATGTGACCACGACTGGTCTTGAAGTCATTAGAGAACAATATGATAGAATCAAATCCATTTCCAAAATCTATAGTACTGAACACCACAAATTGGGGTTTAAAGATAGATTCTCTCAAGCCATTGAATCATAGCAGCATTCCCCCCCCCCCCCCCCCATTTTTGTTTTGATGCTAACTGGACCCATATTTAAACTTATGAATATGCCATTCTTTTATAGTGAAAATTCTTAACTGCAGAAGATTTTCTTAAATTAAGTATTTGGGTTGTTAAGTCAAGTGTTTCTTGATTCCTTGGGCTCTTTTTCTATGAGATCTAAAATATTTAATTAAAAAAATATTTTATTTATTTTTTACAGAGAGGAAGGGATAGGGATAGAGAGCTAGAAACATCGATGAGAGAGAAATATCTACCAGCCGCTTCCTGCATGTCCCCTACTGGGGATGTGCCCACAACCAATGTACATGCCCTTGACCGGAATCAAACCAGAGACCTTTTAGTCTGCAGACCAATGCTTTATTCACTGAGCCAAACCGGTTTTGGCTTTATTTTTCCTTTTAAAAGAGATCCATGTAATTCTACCTTTGAGAAACACTTGATGTATTAGTTAGCTTTTGCTGTGTAACTTACTGGCCAAAATTCAATAGCCATTTACTTACGTCACAATTTTGTGAGTTGGAAATTCAGTCTGAGATTGTCTGGGAGACTATTCTGGTGTTGGTTGGCCCCACTCATATGCATCTGGGTCTACTTGGACAGGCAGGAACAGCTTTTAATTGTCTCACATCTAGCACATTAGCTGAGCCAGTTCTCATGAGGTGGCCGACTTCTGAGAGCAAGTGCAAGCCCACAAGACCTCTTGGGATTTAGGCTTAGAACAGACATATTGTTGCTTCTGTCATATTCTGTTGTTCACAATGGCAAGTTCAAACTCAAGGGGCAGGGAAATAGACTCTTCTGGTCAGATTTCTCCCATGTAATAGGAGGAGCTGAAATGTCACATTTCAAGGAAATGAAGACATTTTTGCAATTGCAGGTAACCAAGGCTTGCTTGTGTGGGCCAATGGTTTTCTAAGCGGGCTTAATAGAAACCCCCCAGGGATGCTTGGTGAAGTGTGATGGGCAAGACAGAGAGTTAGAGAAGGATTGATGGGCAGTGGCCTGGACTCTGTCTTCTTTTTTCAACTCTGGTTTTGCTTGCTTTTGTTTATGCTCAATTCCTTTGGTTTGAAAACTTTAAAGGGTTGCAACCCTAAAATGTCAGAAATTAGGGATATAGTAATGAATACAACAGGAAGGTAGAAAGGTGTGAGCTCCCTGTGAGTTCTGGAGGACCAGGAGAAAGTCCTTGGGAGAAAGTGACTTGAGTGGGAACAGCAAAGAGGTTCTGTTCTTTGGATCCAGGTGGGATTCTTCTTGCATCTCTGAGATTTCCTTTTCGGACTCTTTAAACCACCTGGCATAGTGTCTTGAATATACCAGGTCCTCAATAAAGTTTTTGGTAAGTTGATGAATGGATGGGTGCATGAGCAATAGTATATTGGGTGGGATTTGCCACATTTTTTTCTGTATATTAAACCCACTGGAGTCAAGGCCCCAACTAGTTGTCTAAAGAACCACTAAGGAAAGAAAGGCTGAAATGAATGGTCTCTTAGATGCGCAGCAAGCTGAAAAGAAGGAAACACAACAGAGTCATAAACTAGTGGATTTGTCTACAGTATTTATTTATTGAATCGCCCCAATCAGAATTATTCTCTGAAATACTTACTCAGTAAAATTGTAATAAAGGGGGAAACAAGGGGTAGGAGGAGAAGGATAGAAATGCTCAGCAAATGAATAGTACAGTCTTGTCCACAGACACATGCAACACCAACCTAGGTTCCTTTTTATAACCCAGGATTCACATTTAAATTATCCATAACAGTTTCCTTTTAGGCCAGGCTGGACATTGGAAATAACCTAAAGAGACTTGAGTTGTGAGACTTTGAAAATGTGTATTGAACCCTAGCTAGCTAATATTATTCTTTGGTTCTGGTTTCAAATGGGGAAATATGCTTAATTATAGCTTGCATCATCCCTTGGAAATTGTAGCATTTCTATGTTGATGTAACTTGCCTGACTGTAAAAGGAGGACTATGTATAGGTAAAGGGGCATATGTAAATGGATCCAAAGCATGTTTGGCAAGGCAGAGAAGCCAAAAGGAAAGAGAGGAAAATCACAGCACTTGCCAAACATTTAGGGGCTGCATGCCAAATGTTGCCTTCACTTCCTCCAAATCTGTTGCTGGGCTTGGTCTTCAGCCTTTTACATAAAACTCTTTTTAAGTTTTGCCTCTAAAGTTTTAGGGGCGAAGTGGGAAAAACTTCTGAGTGATTTCAGCACAATTATTTTGAGAAAAAACTGCACTTGAATGCCTGGTAGCTTTTTCAGCATGCATTCTAAGTGGGGATTGGATTTAACTTAAGATTTAAATATGTTGCTATGAATGTGAATAATTTCTATAGATTTTGACCTGCAGGTTACCTTGGGAATTGTTTCCATTCCCAAGTGCAAAGATTTAGATCAAAGTAGCTGACAGTGTCAGCTATTAGCTATGAACTCTATTGGCGATTAGCCAACCATATTCACTATTGGCACGTGAAGCTATAAAACAAGATTCCAAATCCAGTGTTTTAAATCAACAGTAATTTATTCCCATGAAAGTCTGTGTGAACTGGAGGTCTGCTGATATGGACTTGGTACTGGTTAGGTGGCTGTGGTCCCAGTCTCAGGTCCAATGGGTTTGGCTGGGCTAGCTCTGCTTCCTGAATATTTATCCTGGGGCCTAAGGGGGAAGCATTGACCAGGGGATTCTCCTCTCACAGCAAATGGCACAGGTGCAAAAGAAAGCTGAGACCCACGAGGTTGTTTAAGGCCTATGCCCAGAAATGATACTTTCCACCTCTGCTTCAGTGGTTCTCAACCTTTCTAATGCCATGACCCTTTAATACAGTTCCTCATATTGTAGTGACCCCCAACCATAAAATTATTTTCATTGCTACTTCATAACTGTGATTTTGATACTGTTATGAATCGTAATGCAAATATCTATGTTTTCCTATGGTCTTAGGCGACCCTGTTAGTGGTTCTCAACCACTGCACTGGGCCTCTAGTATATTTAAAAACCTAAGCAACTGAACAGCCGAACAACCAAAGGACATGTTGCTATGATGCGAACTGACTACCAGGGGTCAGATGCTCAATGCATGACTGTCCCTTGTGGTCAGTGCGCTCCCACAGTGGGAGTACTGCTCTGCTGACCTCTGGGTGTCAGATGCGAGGCTCAAGGCTGGGAAGCACAGTTGCAGCAGCACCAGCCTCTCCCACCTCCACAGCAGCACTGCCGAGTGGTGGCAGCAGGTGCAAAGGCCAGGATCACCTGACCCAGGCTCCTTCCTGGCCACCTGCCACTTTGCAGACTACTACATACTATGGGGGATGTTGGACTGCTAGTTTCTGACATCCCCCAAGGGGTCCCGGATTGGAGGGTGCAGGCCAGGCTGAGGGATTCGTGCACCAAGCCTCTAATATATATATTTTTATTTTTTTATTTTTTTATTTTTTTTATTTATTTTTTATTTTTTATTTTTTTCATGGAGACCTATGAACTGGGAGGTCATGGTTTGGTACCTAGTCAGGGCACATGCCAGAGTTATGGGGCTCAGGCCCCAGTGTGAGGTGTGTGTGGGGGTGGGGCAGCTGATCAGTGGTTTTCTCTCATCATTGATATTTCTATCTCTCCCTTTCCCTTTCTCTCTGAAATCAAGAAAACATATTTAAAAATACTAATAAAATAAAATTAGGTTTACATTTAAAAAATATATTTTATTGATTTTTTACAGAGAGGAAGAGAGAGGGAGAGCTAGAAACATCTATGAGAGAGAATCATCGATCAGCTGCCTCCTGAACACCCCCTACTGGGGATGTGCCCACAACCAATGTACACGCCCTTGACCGGAATCGAACCCAGGACCCTTCAGTCCCCAAGCCGACGCTCTATCCATTGAGCCAAACCAGTCTCGGCTAGGTTTACATTTTTAAAAAATCATTATCTTTGGCCCTGAACAAGTAGCTCATTTGGTTAGAGCATCATTCCAATATTCCAATGTTTTAGGTTTGATCCCCAGTCAGGGCACATACAAGAATATACTGATGCATGCATAAATAGGTGGAACAGAAAAAATTGACTTCTCTCTCTCTCCCTTCTTTTCTCTTTATAAAAATCAACACAAAATAAAATAAAATAATGATCTTCGAATTTGAATATTAGGAACAGAAAAAAATATTGTGGTCTCTGAAAGAAAAAGGAGCCACCCAATTCCAAATGTAGTTTGTTTTTGTTGTGATTTTTGTTTGTTTGTTTGTTGTTTTTTGTTACTCGCATTTGCATCACTTTTATTTCAGGGGGAATTTACTGTTGATTCCAAATCTACTTAGCTTATTTTTCTCTGAGCCCTAGTCAGATGGTCAGTGGGCTGTGGGGTTAGAGTGGGGTAACAATGCAGCATGCAGAGTGTCATCACATGAATTACCTCTTCTTTCCACAGATTGATGCTCTGCCCGAAATTGTGGAGGCCGTTGATGGGAAGGTGGAGGTCTTTCTGGACGGGGGTGTCAGGAAAGGCACTGATGTTCTGAAAGCTCTGGCCCTGGGAGCAAAGGCTGTGTTTGTGGGGAGACCAATCATCTGGGGTTTGGCTTCCCAGGTAATTGGAAGACAAATAAATAAATACATAAAACAGGATAACTCAGCAGTGACATAAATACATGAAAGAGCCAGGATGACTTACCCAAAAGATCTGTATCTTTTCCTTGTTTAGGGAGAGAAAGGTGTTCAAGATGTCCTTGAGATACTCAAGGAAGAATTCCGATTGGCAATGGCTCTGAGTGGTAAGATTTGTCTTTGCAATTTACAACTTTCTTTTTTCTTTTATAAGTATCTTTTTATTGATTTCAGAGAAAAAGGGAGAGGGAAAGAGATATAGAAACATCAATAGAGAAAAATCATTGATTGGCTGCCTCCTGCACATTCCACATTGGGGAATAAGCCTGCAACCCAGGCATGTGCCCTGACTGGGAATCAAACAGTGATCTCCTGGTGCATAGGTCAACACTCAACTACTGAGCCACACTGGTTGGGATACAACTTTCTTTTCTTCCAGTGGTCATTAAGCCAAGGCTCCTTGGTGGGGAGAAGTGAGTTTGAGGGGTAAAGAGATGGAATTATTTTGGGCTGTAATTAAATTTAAGTTAGCTCTATATTTATAGCTTAGTGCTGAGCACCCTCTGAACTGAGGAACTATGCAGAGTGCATAGTCTGTAACACTCACTTAGCCTCTATCTTTGAAAGTCTTATTGGGATATTTGGGTAAGGATGAGTACTTTCAGAGTACTCATACTTTTCCTCACTTCATAGCACATGAACAATAAATCTAACTGGTTAGGCAACAACTCTACTTGGATATCTAAGTGGCATCTTAGACTCCACCTCTTCAAAACTAAACTGCTAACTTTTCCTACTGAAACTTGCTTCACCTGCAGACTCTCCAGTCTCAGTTCACATTATCACCTTTGTTTCAGGTGCTCAGATGAAAAATCTCAAGTCACTCTTGACTTTTATTTTTCCTCACACCCTTACATCTGCAGAAGATCCATTTGCAAAATACAGTGGTGCCTCGCATAAAGAACGCCTCGCACAGCGAACGCTGCACACAACGAACTTCCTTTCATGATTCATACAACGAACTTCGTTTCACACAACGAAGTCGCCCGAGCTTCCACGACCGCTTTGCCCGAGCTTCCACGACTGCTTCGCCCGAGCTTCCACGATCGCTGCCGATGTATTGCATCCTTCCGCGCAGGCACTGCAGGCAGTCGTTAGTCACTGCGCTTAACTTAAGCACGTATCGCGGCAATCGTTCTTCATTACGAATTAAATCACGCACGTATCACAGCAGTCGTCCTTTTAAGTTAAACTCAATATTTTTTTATATAATTTTTTTTTTTAAAAATTATGTTTTTAGATGTATCTAAATAAAAATAATAACAAAAGATTTATCTTTTTTTATGTCATCTTAGCATATTTTATGCTACAGAACGAATTATTTTTTTTAACATGTATTGTTATGGGAAAACGCGTTTCACATAACGAACTTTTCGCATAACAAACTAAGTTCGTTGTGTGAGGCACCACTGTATAATCAGAATCTGACTTCACCTACCACCTCCACTGCCATCACTCTAGCCAGAGCCATCATCTCTCTTCACCATGGATATTCTGATAGTCTCTCTGTGCATCCTTCCCAACATTTATCTTCCCTTGGGACTTACAGGTCTGTCTATCCTTGCCTAGATCTGCCTCCCAGCCCGTTCTGATCACGGCAGTCAGATTACTTCAGATCATGTCACTCTTCTCATCAGAAGGCTCAATTGTTCTGTGTTTATTCAGAGTAAAAGCCAATGAGGTATAAGGCCCTATGTGGTTTGACCTCTACCACCTCTCTGATCTCACCTTCTGCTACTGTCACCATTGCTTATTCTGCTCAGGGTTCATTTATCTCCTGGCTGTTCCTTGGCTATGCTAAACATGTTTCAGCCTTAGGGATCTTCCCCCAGATATTTACCGTATTTTTTGGACCATAAGACGCACTTTTTTCCCCCCAGAAGTGGGGGGGAAAAGTCCCTGCGTCTTATGGTCCAAATATAGCCTACACATATACTTTAAAAAAAAAAAGTTTTTTTACTTGCCCGGCTCTGTGTGGTCTCTGTGTGCTTGCCCAGCTCTAAAATGGTTCTAAATGCTGCTGTTTACTTTACAGGGTTGATTACATGTGTTTATGACTGTGATGTTGGGTTTTTAATGCACATAAAATATTTTAGGACACTATTTGTTTCAGAATCTTTTTTTCTTCATTTCCCTTCTCTAAAAACTGGTGCGTCTTATGGTCCGGAGCGTCTTATGGTCCGAAAAATACGGTACATGGCTGATTCCCTCACCCCCTTCAAGTCACAATTATGATACACTGTACTTTCTCAAAGGGCCCCATTCTGACCACCCTATTTAAAATGGCAATTTGCTCTCTGCCCACACACTCAGCTTCCAGTTTTCTTTCCCTATTATTAGCTCGTTACTTTATCATAGCACCTATCACCTTCTATAGATCATCTAGCTTATGATTTATTTTTTTAAATCATATGCATTATGTATCCTCTCTAGAATGTAAGAAGCACAAGGCAGCAATCTTTGTCCATAGTCTTCACTGCAGTATTCGTAGTGTATAGAGCAGTGCCTGGCGCATAAATAATATTTGCAGAATGAATGAATAAATAAATAAGCAGCATTATTACTAGGAACTGTTTTGAATTTGACTCAGCTGGACCTGTACATGCAAAGAATGACCTTGAGTTAATTATCAAGTCCCCAACTTTTGAAGGTAACAAGGGCTTCCTTTTCTGTGATCCATATCACCCCGATTGTCTCCATAGATAGACTCCCCAAGATCAATGGTCTCCTCACTACTGTGCTGAGCCTGTGTGGACACAGCCTCAGCGAGAAGAATGCCATTCTGTGAATCCTCACTATGCATTTTAATTTGCTACAGACATATCCTAAAAGAGAGCTTTCAGCCACTGGCTCTTTATTAAATGTGGCAGAAAGAATATACTCTTTGTGTTAATAAAAATATGTGCCAGTCATTTTGTGTTAAGGACTGTTTAGGTAATAAAAATGGTCTCATGCCACATAAGATTTGGCAAGGCTACCTTGAATCATAAACCTTACATTTGTCAAGTTTTACATTCCTTGGGAAAACGATTACCTGCCTGATTATTATTGCATTCATTTCATATTAAATGTATGCATTCTTTTTTCAGGGTGCCAGAATGTGAAAGCCATCGACAAGACATTGGTGAGGAAAAATCCTTCGGCCCTTTCCAAGATCTGACAGTGCACAATATTTTCCCATCTGTATTATTTTTTTTCCAGCATGTATTACTTGACAAAGAGACACTGTGCAGAGAGTGACCACAGTCTGTAATTCCTCACTTCGATACAAAGGGTGTCGTTCTTCTCCAACAAAATAGCAATCCCTTTTAGTTCATTGCTTTTGACTTTTCAATGGGTGTCCTAGGAACCTTTTAGAAAGAAATGGACTTGCATCCTGGAAATATATTAACTGTTAAAAAGAAAACATTGAAAATGTGTTTAGACAACGTCATCCCTTGGCAGGCTAACGTGCTGAAAAACAAAAGATATTCTTTGGTAAACTTGACGGGAGCTAATGCTGAGGTGGAAAGATAATGATCACACTGTTTATTAGCCTGCATTGTGTTCAGATACCCATAAAACAGTGTTCTTAAATTATAAGCTCAGGTTCAAAAGGTTCCACATGCCTGGGAGACTTGGATTCGCACCACCGAGGAGGTAGCACTTGATAGATTTGGGATGAATTGGTGAAATTTGTGATTTTCCTAGATACATTTTAATACCTTGAGCTGCGCTACTTCTTTGAATGTAGATTTCATTCCCATCTTCAGTGTCTGAATATCTGAATATTTTGTGATATGCATTGCTTTCTAACCAGGAAGAAATAAAGCATTATTTTGAAAAGTGTATATCTGGTCCATTTGCAACACTATGGAATTTAACCATTGTACTTTCTTTTTCTTTTTCTTTTTTTTCTTTTCTTTCTTTCTTTTTTTAAATCAGTCTTTATTGTTCATATTATTACAAAGGTTCCTCATTTCTTCCCCCCTCCACCAGGTTCCCACCCCACCCTCCACCCCCTTCCCATCCTCCACCCCCTCCCCACCCCCCATTGTCCTCATCCATAGGTGCACTGTTTATGTTCAGTCCGCTCCTGGCATCCACCACTCCCCCTTTCCGGAAGAACTGTCAGTCCACTCCCCTCCTGTATTGCTGACTCTACTACAATTAACAGCTGACTCTACTACAATTAACAATTAATATTGTTCATCAGGTTTTTCAATCTCCTTTTTTTGTTGTTGTTTTTTGCTTTTTTTTAATTAATAAACTTTTACACTTCTAAGAATAAATTTTAAAATCTAATAATTTTAAACCTTGTTTTTTTCTGCCCTGGGAATTGAAAAGCAAACTTGTTTACATGTAAACTTGCCCTTAGGCTATCAAAAGGTGTAGCCATTCAAGTGTAAATGAACACATTGTTTAAAGATAGCTGCTGGTTGGAATTGGATTACCTGTTCTGGGTGGGAATGGCTTGTCCTCCCCTTTCTCCATTAAAATTAAGGTGTTAGCTACCTCTTTTTGGCAAGAGACCTTAAACTTTCAGAACTTAAAATTTTTCAGATAGTAAATCAGTTACTTAGCATTTTCTCAAATCAATAATACCTCCACATGCTCAAGGATACACGCCACACAAAAGACATTTCCAAATAGATCAACCAACTTTATCCAGACCCCACACAAGGCACTCACAGATCAACACCCCAGCGCTATACTAACTCAACATTTCCAGATCTAAGCCTTCATCACTTGATTCAGCAGACGCTCATTGTACTTTCTTAATGCTAATTGGTTCCCTATTCCTCCATGCATGCTGCGTTATTTCTCACACCGTCTAGTTCCTCTTCTTTATTCTCTTGCTTCTTTTAATCACAATCGTGTGCAAACCCAGCAACATTATTTGTGAGGATCACGCCCAGTGAAAATGTCAGTCCTTTGTTCAAAAAGTAAGTAAAAGCCTTTTTTTCTATAGTTTTTCTCTTCATCTGTCATGGTGTCTTATTTGCCATTTAATGCCACGTTTCTTTGGACACGGGGATATGCACAAGGCAAGTGCAGACCCTCACAGGTGCCTGGGACATCATCCTGTGACCAGCCCCAACTCTTCTCAGTCCAGGTCCAGGACTCAGGGTGGAGGGTGGCCTTGTCACTGGTAAGAGAGCAGCCAAGGACTCATTCAGGGGAAGGGGTGGGGGAAGGCGGAAGATGAGACAATGTGTGACTTTAGGCTCCAGGCCCCCAGATTATCTCTTTGGCTTTTCCTTATGAAAAATGAACTCAAAGATGAAATTATTAAGAATTTCAAGCCAACAGCCATAGAACATTAAACTCAGGCATGGGGCCCCTTTCTTAGTGTGGAGTCCTGTGCAGCTTCACTAGTTAACCACAGAGACCTGGTCACATGACTTTTAGATTTATCCCCAAACCAGTCATATGATGGATTGCAGGTGGACTTCGTAGTCAGTGTAATTTTGAGATTGATTTTTCACCATCTCTCTGGTTGTTCAACCACTGTGAAATACTGAGTGAAACAAATGAGAAAAACTCTGCCTTAGAATAAGATTATTATATTATGTCTTATTGTTTTACTAGAGGCCTGATGTATGGGATTTGTGCACTGGTGGGGGTGTGTGGCCTGTGGGGATCGGCCCACTGTGGGAATGCCACTCATCCTGACCAGCCCAGTGGTGCTCCTACTGTGGGAGCACACTGATCACTAGGGGGCAGCTTCTGCGTTGAGCATCTGCCCCTTGGTGGTCAGTGCTCATCATAGTGACTGGTCAACTGGTCATTCTGGCCATTCTGCCATTCAGTTGCTGGGGTTTTATTATATAGGATTATTAAGGATCTCGATTTTTTGTCTCTCTTTCTTTAAATGCTAGAAATTTCATAAATACTATAATGGACACAAATATTGATCTCTTGTTCTGAAATTATATTTAAATCTGATAAAATAGAATTGTTTAATCTTCTAAAAAGAAACAGTTATCTCTTCATGTTTTGTCCAAATAGAAAGAAGGAATATTACTGTCATATCATGTAACCATTTCATGCTTTTTTGAAGTAATATTAATAAATTAATAGGTATGTAATAAGCCCCTCTTATTTCCTCAACTGATTTAGAAACGACTTTTCTATTGGCAAAGAACACTCACTCTAGTTACACTGGAGTACGTGGTTGGATGGTGACTTGCTAAAAAGCTGGTAACTTCCCAGCAAATGGAGCTCCATATTTGGCCTTTTAAGTAAATATTATGCAAGTAACATGAAAACAGGATTAATGGTCTTAATTTGTGAATTTCTAGATGCTTTTATGGCCCTCTCAGAGCCATGCTCCTTCCTTGAATGTAGATTTACTTTTTTTTTTTCCCTTTAGAGTTGCAATATAACTGAATGCTTTATGATCTATCTGTATTGTTTCCATAGTCAAAATGATGTAAAGTTGTCTTTACCTTTTTGGAGAGTGTTTCCTATCCAGTTGTAGCAATACTAAATCCAAAACTATCTTGTAGCTAAAACAGGAATGGTGTGTGTGAGTTGCACATCATTTTGAGGGATTTTTTTTTTTTTTTTACTTGATGTTGTTAGAAATACTTTCAGGAAGCCAATCGATTTTCCTGTTTTTTAGTTTATTAAAATATGTTAGGGGAGGGGTTGTAGGGCCTGGACAGTTAATGCAGGCCCAGTCTGCTTTTCTTATATGTCATTCAACATGTGTAGTGCTTCAGCATAGTGTTTCTCATCCTATGGATGCATTATAGTCACTGGGGGGCTTGTTGAAGCAGATTGCTGGTCCCCCTCCTATAGATTCTGATTGAGCAGGTGTGGGGTCGGGCCTGACATGGGCCCAGGTGAGGCTGATACTGCTTGTCTGGGCATCATACTTTGAGAACCACTGGTCTAGTCTAGAGCAAGAAGCATCAAGTCAGATTTGCTAGTAATGAGCTATAGAAATGATCCCTGAAAGTATTAACACAATGGAATACTACTCAGCTGTAAAAAAGAAGAAAATCTTACCTTATGTGACAGCATGGATAGATATGGAGAGTGTTATGCTAAGTGAAGTAAGCCAGTAAAGAAAGACAAATACCACATGATTTCACTCACATGTGGAATCTAAAGAACAAAATAAACAAAATTGAAATAAAGATTTTAAGTGTTGGAGAATAATGTTAATACCAAGCAGGTCATGTTGAAACATGGTTGTTGTTCATGTCTGGCCCATGAGTCCCAAGTTTCCCATGCTTGTAACATCTTATCCTCACAAATGTTTCTCTCATGGCTAAAATCACTCTTTTGCACTTACATAGAAGCATGCCTGAGACATAGCAATGATGGGAGATTGCCAATGGAATTTGCCAGAATCTCTTTTGTTTAAATTTGTTTATATTCTGCTACCAGGAAGAATGTGGGTGTGAGATAAGCTTCCTTCTTTCCACCAGATTTGGGGTGCCCATGTTCCCAGGTCTGCAGGAATGAATTAAATGGTATTGACTGCATCTGTGTTATTACTGTTTTATTCATTCATTAGTTTATCTTGTCAAAATACTGGCAATTGTGATATAGCTTTAGGGGGCTGTGGTGATTAGTATAACATGAGGAAGTTGTGGCTCGTTCTCAAACAGGGAGAAAAGACTTTTCATTGTAAAATGTATAATTTATTTACTGTATGATTGACTATATGCATATCAGTTGCATAGCAACAGAACAAAGTTTGTTTAGGAAAGTCTGAAGGTTGCTTATAACATAAAGATAGAAGATCCTTTCTGAACTTCCATTGGCTTCAATGTGTACTCTGTCACAATTATAGAACAACACCAGGATGAGAATTTATTTTAGGTAATATAAATGTTAACTCAAATTATAGAAGCTATTATTATATACTTATTGGGTAGAAGTTCTTATCTGTTTTAAAAGATACAATTTCCTGCCCTTATTCAAATCTAACTTGAGCAACAGTTATCTTCTTTCCTCCCTAATGTAGTTGCCCAGAGTTGGTTGGAGAAATAAAGAATACTTCTTTTTATTCAGTTTTCAGTTTTTCTACTGAAAAATTTCTGCACATTATTTAGATAATGAGCATAGCTTCAGTTGAAAATTTTCCAGGATCTTCTGAACATGAAGAGTTGTGTTACCCTGAATAATGCCAAAACAAGAGCTGGAATTCAAGTGAGCAATAAATTTGATTTTGTTTGTTCTGCTGATCATTGGGGGAAAGATTCTGGCTTGGTTTCCTGACTTTATTTTCTAGTTAGATCATCTACCTTTAAAACTGTTTAACCCTCCCTCCATCTCTCCCCCCCCCCCCCCCCCCCCCCCCATTTATGGTCGGAGTCTTTAGACTGTTTCTAATAGTGGGAACTTCTGTTTTTCTTTTCTTTTCTTTTTTTTAAATATATTTTATTGATTTTTTACAGAGAGGAAGGGAGAGAGATAGAGAGCTAGAAACGTCTATGAGAGAGAAACACCGACCAGCTGCCTCTTGCACACCCCCTACCGGGGATGTGCCCGCAACCAACTTACATGCCTCTGACTGGAATCGAACCTGGGACCTTTCAGCCCGCAGACCGATGCTCTACCACTGAGCCAAACCGGTTTCGGCAATAGTGGGAACTTCTTATTGAGTCATTTATGGTAATGTCCTTCTTCACTACCTCAACTAAAGAGAAGTTAAGGTGAACCCTCCTGAAAGCATTGGGTTAGGTTTCTGAAGATCTGAGTGACTAGCTGGGTGAACCATTATTTCCCTTTATGACCCTCATAGATTTTCAGCTATGAAATGAGAACATAGCATAGTAAAATGTATTGTGAGAAGGTATTGTGAATTATAAATCAATATTTAAAGTT